AAAAAAAACAAAATTAGGAATTGTTGCGGGGAATTTCGAGAAAGACAAGATGTGTGAAGATGGGGGAAAAAAAGAGGAAAAAGGAAGGGGGTATTTGACATTTCACACAAATCGGCTTTTTTGTTACGACAGCGACACTCTCTTTTTCAGTTGTCTCGCAGAGCTTCCAAAGGCCTCAGCTACAAGAACAAAGGGCTGAGATTTCGCTGAGCGGAGCCCCGATTGCCCGAATCCCCCAACCCTAATCTCCAGGAGATCGGCCATGGCTTCCTCCAAAGAGCGCGAGAATTTCGTGTATGTCGCCAAGCTTGCTGAGCAGGCCGAGCGATACGATGGTTAGGGCTTCATCTTAGTGTTTCTCCTTTATTTTGCTAATCGACTTGATTTTGGATCATATAATGTCTTCGTTTTGTTTTCTCATAGATTAAAGCTACGGGCTTTGCTTCGATTTCAGTCTGATGAGTGTATATCCGTCTGCTTTTTTCCACCTCCCTCTTTGTCACTATGAAGCTTGATCCCGTTTAATTCTCTGCTAATTTCGTCCTGTGGTTTTGTTTTGATGCTTCAAATTTGGTGTTGAGTAGTAATTTGATTTGGATATGGTTGTTTTTAATTGAAAGTCGTGGGAAATCTAACTCTAAAACTTTTTTCTGAGATTTGAGTTTTTCGCCTTTGAGTTAGGTAATGGGAGTCCAATTCAATCATCCATCGGTCCAAGCAGGACTTTTTTTATTTTTTTGGGTTGAAAAAAATTCGTCAGATTTGGTTACTTCGATGAAACTTGCGGAATGTTTTTGAGCAACTTCCCTGAACAATACACCAATTAGTTTATCTAGGCTAAAAGGTTTAAATTATCCTGGGAAGTCTTTTAAGTTTTATAACCTCAACAAACAGAGCTTTAGTTTCAGCCTGAACTGACCTCAACAAACAGAGCTTCGGTTTCAGCCTGAACTGCTTTAAATTCCTTGGAAGCGTGGGATTTTGGGGAACTGCATGTAGGTTTTGGCATGACACTTGAAGTATTTCTGTTATAACAAGTATTTTTGCCAACGAATTTTCTTTTTTCTCCCCCTATCAGCAGGGAGTGCGTTTGGGTATGTTTATTTTGACTTCAGATTTCGGCGGTTAACTTGTAACTTACAAATTTTGACTTACAATATATTGTTCCTGCCTCCATTTGTAACAGAGATGGTGGATGCTATGAAGAAGGTTGCAAATCTAGATGTTGAGCTGACCGTTGAAGAGAGAAATTTACTTTCTGTTGGTTACAAGAATGTAATTGGTGCTCGCAGAGCATCATGGAGGATACTGTCCTCAATAGAGCAAAAAGAAGAAACAAAAGGGAATGAAGTAAATGCCAGACGGATTAAGGAATATAGGCACAAAGTTGAAGCAGAGCTTTCAAACATCTGTAATGATGTTATGACGGTGATTGATGAGCACCTCATACCTTCTGCTACTGTTGGTGAATCAACTGTGTTTTTCTATAAGATGTGAGCGCTCATGCCTCATTCCCTCCTGAATATGTTAGTGTATTATAATTTGTTTCCTATAGGAAAATTATGGCATGTTTCTGGTTGCAGGAAAGGGGATTATTATCGTTATCTTGCAGAATTCAAATCAGGCAACGAAAAGAAAGAGGCTGCTGATCAGTCTATGAAAGCATATGAGTGCAATTCAAATTCTCTGATCTATTATGTTTGCGTTTTACATGATAGTATATATTATTATTTGCTGAGTTCAGTTAAGGTAAGTTATACCTGTTTAATATTGCTCAGAACCATGAGAAATTTTTCTTATTTTCCCCCCATTTTGGTTGTGTCCTTTATTCCATTTATCTTCAACCAGTGATATGGTTTTGTTCCATTGTAGGCTGCTACCGCAGCAGCAGAGGCTGAATTGCCCCCGACGCACCCCATCCGATTGGGGCTGGCTCTAAATTTCTCAGTTTTCTACTATGAGATCATGAATTCACCTGAAAGGTTTGTGGATATGATTTCTTTCTGTAATGCTACTTAGGGTGTGTTTGGCAAGCACCCCAAACCATGGTTTGGAAAAAATGTTAGCCAAACACCCTTAAAAAAATCAAAACCATGGTTTGGATTCAAAACCATGGTTTTGAGAAAAGCAGAAATTTTTTACTTTTGGAGGTAAAGGGGGAGAGTGTGAGAGCCTATAGGATATGTATCTTGTTGTTTTTCTTATAAACATATTTTTTATAATATATTTAATCTTATATCTTATAAATATATATATACATATTAATTATTTATTAATTATATTACTCTCTCCGTTCCTTATTATAAGAGACATTTGATGTTTATGGCATGTTCCTATATATAAGAGACATTTACAAGTTGTTTCTACTTTTATGTGTTGATTTACTATTTTACCCATATTTATTATCTCCAACTCACACTCTCTCTCCCTCTCACTTCTCTTTCTTTTAATAATTTAATTATTCTCTCTCATGTTCTCTCTCCTTATTAATGAGGGCATTTTTGGAAAAAATTATACTTTTTACACATTAATTGTTCTTAACTAATTTTAACTATTTTTTTTTATCAACGTATTTCGGTTATTTGTCTCTTATAATAAGGAACAGAGGGAGTATTTTATATATTATTAATATATGTTAATAAAAAATATATTATTAACAATTTTATTCCTTCAAATTAAAATATATCATAAAATATATTTTTTCTATAATTATCATATTAATTTATGCCAATTTGTATATATAAAAAGTACTTCTAATAACAACTATCCAAACACTCACACTTCTCAAAATCACTTTTTCACAAAATCTATTATTTCCAAAATCTATTTTTTTCAGAATATATTCTCCAGAAGCTATTCTCCAAACCATGGTTTGGTTTCATCCAAACACACTCTTAATGTTATTGTGTTTCATGTGGGATATTGTGTTTTTTATTCTTCCAGGGCCTGTCATCTTGCGAAGCAAGCTTTTGATGAAGCTATCTCTGAGCTTGACACCTTGAATGAGGAGTCATACAAAGATAGCACATTGATCATGCAGCTTCTCAGGGACAACCTTACCCTTTGGACTTCTGACATCCCAGAAGATGGAGGTGATCGATTTGAAAGGCCTATAATTCACTCTTCTTTTCTTTTTTTTTTTTTTTTTTCTTTTTCTTTTTCATTCTTTTTATTTCCAATTTATTGATTAAATTTCTGAAATCATCTATTATGCTTTAATTATCGTAGCTTTTTGATGTCCTTCAGTTGCTTGAAAGTGCTAGCATGCATATACATTCCTTATCTTTTAGGTAGTGTTTATCATTTGATCTGCCTTGTATTCTTTATAGTCATAAAGTATCTGTTATGTTCATGTTCCGAAAAAGCGCTTTGTCAAGTCTGTGCTCCACATGCCTTTGACATACGTGGTGGAACACTTGGAAGAAACCACTGAACTCTTCAGATTTGGCCGCACTTGTTTTGTGTTAGTTTCCATGATTCTTAGCTTCTGCCGTTGGTTGGAAATCAAATATATAAAGATACACTGTTGTTGAAGTTTTGATATCTGCCAAGAGTTTCACACGTGCATCACGTGGTCAGTCCTTTTAGAGCTTTGATTGAGGCTCTTATAAATGCGGGTAAAACCTGAATATAGTAGATTAGTCTGCAAACTGTGAGTTATCCTCCCTTGTTTTGTTAAAAAGCTGGGTTCTGTAAATTTTCAAATGATGATGCTCTGAGATGAATTAAGTTTATGAAATATTAATGGACACTTATTTTGGTAGAGAATCTAGATAATTGACAGTTTTCAGGGAGGAATCTGAGTTAGTTTTTAACATTTCCTTGTGATGATAAACTATTCATCATTCGCTGATATCTGATTGAGGACCTAGCGTTATGGGAATCTCATTCCTTTTTGTAAAGCGCAGTTTTTGTCTGACCAATTAGTACGAGGATCTTTTTCTGTTTGGCATTACTTATCTAGCACTCTGAGTTTTCTGTTCCTGCTGCTACAGAAGATGCCCAGAAAGTGAATGGCACTGCCAAGGTTGGCGGAGGCGAGGATGCAGAGGTGAGTAATTTCTTTGTTCATGGCAGTTATCATTGATCGTTCTGTTTGATTGCTCTAATTTACTTATCTATCTCATTTCATCTGTGCAGTGAGGAGGATGGGAGGTAGCACCGTTAAAGAGTTGATGTGTTCGGGGTGAGACGTGAGGGCCGCCGTTAACTCATCTGTGTATTAGCTAGTGATAGGGTCCCGATTTTTATTTTTATTTATTTTTCCTTTTTTTTTTTTAAATGTTTCTTGTCGATTGGCCACACTTCCCAACGGGGGAAAACTTTGTGCCTTATTATGGTCTGTTCCTTTCTGTGTGGTGTTTGAAAATGGCCTATTTCATCCCCCCAAAGCTTTTCCTCCTTTTCCGTGGGAGGGTTTATTGAGAAGAATTGTTTATGCTGTATTTCTTGTACCAATGGAAAATGCTGCAGCCGTATATGGGCCTGCTGCTATTGAAGATTCTTCCGTAATACTTTTACCGTGTTACCGTGTTTTTAATCTCAATCCCTAGGATTCTTAGGTAGATTTATTTTACTAAAAATAGGTGCCAAGTTAACAATAACAAATGATCGCTAAGCAAGTCATTAGAGGATGTGTTTGACGGTTAGCACATTTACACGATCATAAGGAAATTGTCAAAGCATTTTTAATATATGTCAACGGAAGAGGAAGAAGTGAAGGACCTTGATACTATAAAAGACAAGAGTCCAAAGGTGGAGTCCGAGGCTCCAGGCTCTCGGTGGTCTACGATTAGGTTGCATGTGGTGTCATTAAAGAGAGAAAGAAAAGTAGTTATAGTGAACATGGGTTTTAAGCGCGCTCTTATTCCTGTTTCATGTGATTCAGTAAAAAAAAATAGAAATTCCATTATTTCTAAATTGATTCATATTATTCGATGAAGAATGAGAGCAAATAGTGGGATATTTTCTATAAATGGGGAAAGTTAAAATGCTTGGGGGTGAGAACAGTGCTGGCACTACGTGAAGCCACTGGAATGGTAGTCTCGGTCCTCATCGCCAATCTCTATCTTTGATGTAGAGTTCGTACGTCGCCAGTAAACAAATTCATTGTTCTTTTTGGTAGCCTGGCATGGAACAAATAGCAATTCAGGGGGTGCCAATTCAAACCCTTCAGGAATTTAAATTCACAAGCTTCAAAGAAGTTAAATTCCTTGTTCTCTTTCTTGGTGAATATTCACATGAAATTTTAAGCAAGACCATAGAGACAGACGCACTGAAGCTGACTAACTAGTCTTCTACTTTCTTAGTACTCATTAAGCCATGCTAAGAATATCCGCAATTGAACTTCATGTGCCACGCCCATGATACCCATATGACTTGTCTGGTGTAAATAAAGACCAATAATAGCTAGCATTCTTAGCTAGGGCAATTTTCATTTGGATAAAATTTAAGTAAAATTCTGTAATATTCATTAAGTAGCTTAATCACGCCGTAAGACACCCGCAAGTATACAAATTATTCATGTCACTGAGACCAAATCAAATAGTTAAATCATATACCTAACTTCAATTCCCTTTGAGCTTGACCACCGGGACATGGAAATAATATTGATATAAAGTTGTGGATGCATTCTCCAGCTACTATGTAATCCAACTTTTTTCCAAGCAAAATAATAAGGAAAAAGTCAAAAAGGTACAAATTAACAATGGAAACATCTAGCAACAGCATTATGAGTAGAAATTGAAGTACATGCAGGGGGGGGGGGGGAACGAACCATCACATTCAATTAGAGGCGAGCGAGACGGCCGAATCCATGGTCGAAGCACAGTCAAGAGCATCACAGCCATTGATCCTCTTGCGCTTGTTCGCCATTTTCGGGGCTCGCCGGCCATTTTGGGAAGCTTTAGGGAGGACGCCACTGATTTTATTAGCGTCCATTGACTTTTCCGAAGTCTTGGTTCGAGAACTGCTCTGCAAGTGTTTGGTGACTTGCGGTTTCTGCTCAAGAGGGAGGGAGTTCTCTGGGCAAGAACTGAGGGTGTAAACAGAGGTAACACAGCACTCTTGCCAGCCTAGTTCGTTGAGATCAGCGATTACGTCCTCCAATGGGAGAGTCGCGGAGGCAGACACCCTCTGGTTGAGTGTGGATCTCGGCAAATCCATTAGATCAAGCGTATTCACGGCATCCACCAACACTTTCTGTGAAATCAATTAGAAATTCAATAATCGAGGACTACCATTTTTCTGCATGATATTTCAGTTTGAATTTCTTAAAAAGTAGTTAAGTAAACAGAAAACCAGTAACATTTCTTTCATTGCCATTTTCTCGGCAGCCAAACAGAGACTCAAAACCAGCATGTGCAAAGAGCGAGTGTATGACCTTGGTCTGTCCGTACAGTTTCTTGAAGCCATGGATATAGATGATCTGCAAAATGAAGCAAATGTCGTGGATGAATAACTTTCAAATTGAACTCGGAAATAGACAAGGAATTAATCAATGAATAATAATAAAGAAATAAATAAATAGGAGGAAAGGAAAACCTGGTTGAGAAGGTTTATATTGAGATCAACCGTTTTAAGGGAGCGGCGGAAATCGAGGTAGTCCTCCAGAGATAACTTGTCTTTCTTCCCCTGTCGTTTTCTGGAGCTAGTCTTGCTCGGTTGCGTTTGAGTTTGGATCTGCGTCTGCGATTGCGGCTCCATTGTCGTTCACTGCAGCTCTGAGTGAAAACAAAAGAAGTGAAAACTGAGGAAGGCATACAAGGGAGGGAAATCAAAAATGAATGTGGCCTATTCATAAGCCCTTCCGTGTCACGTGAGTTCGTTGAGTTTGTTACATCTTTTTTAAATATATATATTTTTTTCCTTTGTCGTAATTAGTTTGTAATCTCCTGCGTTCCCCTCCTTCGTAGGTATGACTAGTAGTAATTAATAATGGAAGCCATAACTTTTTGGTAAAATAATTTCCTTTGGCCAAAAATTGTTTTTTGGTGAAATAATAATTGATAACAATGAAATAAAACACAACTTATTCAACAAGCGCTTAAAATATGAATTGAACCACTCTTCAAAGAATATGGAATTAATGAGTATAATTGTAATAAGTTTAGGCATTTGGCCTTGCCTTTTTACGTCATAATAGTATGGATAGTGACAAGAAGTGCCCAATTATAATTCTCCAAAAATTCTAAACTATTCCATATTTCTTAAATTTATTATAAACATTTTAAACTCTCCAACATAAACAGCGGAAATCCGTTCTGTTTGGATTGAAAGAAAAGTGAAGAAAATAAGAGAAAAAAATACTAGTTAAAAACTTTTAAAAATAATAAAAAAGTCTTTATCGTTTTAGAAAGTTTTCTTCCTAATTTTTTCCCCCATCCAAACAAAAAGGGGTAGGGTTTGGATTCAAGTTTAAAATCTTTCTTCTATGATAGTCTCTCACTCCATTGTTAGCAGCTGAGACTCGGATTAAGTTTTGTTGGTAAAGGGAGAAGGAAAAAGAAAAGAGGGGCCACTGGGGAGGAGATAGTAATTTCAGAAAAAGAAAATGGTGAGACCCACAATATAATTTTTATTATGGTTTATAATTTTATGCAAATGCCATGCATACCTGACGTGTAGAGCAAGAAAGAGGTGGTACGCTCAGAGGACCAAGAAGGTCCTCCAATATTATCAAATACTAGCTTGATGACAAATAATTGCCCCCAGCCAAGCCTCCTAGTCATTTTCTTCCCCCATCTCTTTTCTCTGTCTCACTCTTAAGTAGCAGTACAGACCGGACAATAATTAATATTCGACACTTTTTACAGCCTTTTCCCTTCCTGCCATGCCCATGTTCCTAATTCACAATTTTTTCCTGTTCATTTTTGGATAACAACAACGTAGCCTTACTCCCTTAGGTGAGATTTGCTAGATTGATCGACACGTTAAACTCTCCTAACTGTCAAATTTTAGATAGATTGTTAATCAAAAAATCTCAGATATTGTATTGTTCTTTTTTGGACAATTTGATATACCCTTTAAATATATTTATTGTTTTGATCTGAGTTTTGAGTTATTGCTGTGATAAAGTTGGCACGAGGATGATGCAAAATAGTAGGAAAGAAAGAAAAGGAAGAAACAAGATATACATTTATGATTGAAAACCTAATTAACAAGACGCTGATTTTTCCCTGAGGTTTATCTGCCTAGAGCTCTGAAAAATTTATGTGCACTTTGTGTACCAGGGCAAAAACTGACCCTCCTGATCTTTCTGAACTGAAGAGGGCAGGGTTTGGCCAGTCCGCCTACATATGACTGCAAAAAAATTAAAGGGTATACATTATGGAAGCTAGAGATTACAACAGTTCCTCACAGAGTCCTCCAATAACTGATGACTCGGCCTTATCATCTCCATCACCTTCTCTCCATTTGCATATATTCTGAAGGTCGGCACAGTTCTTATGCTCTCAGCTTTTCCTACACTTGTACAGTCTTCCAAATCCACCTGAAAATTGATTTTGGATCAAGTTAAGAAGGACCAAGTGTAATTGGCGTATAAGATAACCACCTAAACACATTTTGGACATCACGTTTGTGTGTGACAAGACATGATTCTTCAAATTTTATGAAATAATAATGCGTATATCTTGGTTGTTTTCTGTGTCAGTGTGTTAGCATCAATGTCTATACTTCTCAGAAAGGCATAAATTAGTGTTTTACCTTGATGAATTTAACATCTGGGTATCGAATGCAGAGCGTATTTATGAAGGGGGATATTTCTTGACATCGTTCATTAGATGCCTTCTTGAAATGAACCACTGAGATACCTGAAAATTGAGGTTTTTGGCTTTACACAAAACCAACGAGGCAAGAGAAATGCTGCACTAAAACTACTGGGGAGAAAAAA